TTCAATTAAAAAAAAATATATACAGTATTTATTCAGTAATAAATTTTACATAATTTGAAAATGATACCGATGCGTTAAAAATAAAAATGAGAAAATGTTTAATTTCTTGATCTAACTTTAACCAACAATTCGGGACAAATTATTAAAGCAGAGGACACGGTTTTTAAAGGGGAATTCTTATCTATCAAATCAATATCAAACTTTCTATACAACAAGGCCATCAAACAAATCATTTCAATCATTGCCAACTTTCTTCCCGGACAGATCCTTAAACCTCCACCAAACATAATAAAAGAAAATTTCTTTGGTTCAAAATCTTTAATCATCCATCTATCAGGATTAAATCTTTCAGGTTCTTCCCAATAATCTTTATTCTTATGAATAGAAGCAGTATTCACATGAAACATTGTACCCGCTGGCCACTTATAACCCGCTATTTCATCAGGTTCTTGACTATATCTTGCTACAGTATTTAAAACTGGAAGAACGCGATCAACTTCTTTTATAATTGCTTCACAGTATTTTAGTTTTTCGTAATCATCTTCGGTGATTGAACGTGTTTTATCACCTTGGAACACACCATCAATTTCTTCGAACATTTTCTTTTTTACGTCCGGATTACTTGCGACATGGTATATGATGAATGAAAGCAAATTCGCGGTCTATATTTGAAAATAAATAAATGATACAATCACGTTAATCAAATTTTAAAAAAAAGCTTTATGTATTTGAAAAATTTCCTTACTTTTAGGGTTCCACCAAGAAAAGTGTCAAACATAACATTACGAATTTCAAGGTCAGTCATAGGTAAGTTCATGACTTCACCCTCGACAGTTTCAACATGATTAATGTCACGAGAAGTATTCGCAGTGATCAACGAGGTCAACATATCATGTGATAAAGGTTTATCCAGAGATGTATTTTCAATTTCTTGTCTGCGCTTTTTAATGATCGATTCTAATTTTTGATAGATAAATTCAACGTTTCTAAGTATAGCGTCTGACTTACTCTTAAAAAATGGAACGTAATGCCTGATGAAAGGAGGAATAATAAGGAATATTGGAGCTTCTAAAATTTGTTTACGAAAAGCTTGAATGAAATTCTCAGAGTCATCGATCAACGATTGCTGATATTCGGCTTTTTCATCACCTTGAGTATTAAAATATGATGCCATCCTATAAGATCTTTCACCAGTTGTTAACGCGATGATCATATCATTTGTATATCTATTAAACCATGCAGAACAATCCAATTTATTTTGATCATCATCTTTTAGGTATAACTTGTTCCAATAACTTTCCAATTCATTGAAAAGATCATTCGACCAATCAATAGCTTTCTTTGTAAATTTCGGTGCCAATATAGCTTGAGTAAAGAAGTGACGATTGTAACTCCATGATCTCAAATCATGATTGGCAATTAAACCTCTTCCCATCATTCCTAATTCATCCAATCCTTGGGTGTAAGGAAATCTCACCATATGTTGACTCTTTGGTGACAAAAGTTTTTCAACATATTCCGATCGACTGAGAATTATACGTCGACCTCCCATAAAAAGTTCATATATATCACCATATTTCTTTTGATTATATTCGAAAAATTCTTTTAAATCTCCTCTACAATATAATGCGAATTGAGGTACGTTTCCGATAAATGGGAATGGGAAAGGACCAGGTAAAGGGTTAACACGAGTAAAATACTTGAAATAGTAATATGCCACGTAACCCGTTAATATGAACCATACCAACGTAAGGTAATTAGGAATCAAAAAAGATTCCACGGATTTACAAAATTGACACGAATACATTTGAAGAAATTCTTTTTTTATAATATATATATATTATTTTTTGGATCTCTAATAAAAATGAATTATTAAAGTTTTTGAAAGTAGTATCAAGGAGTGAAAATCAACATATTTTATATTAAAAATGTTTTTGGGAAAGGCTTTAATTTATC